AAAAACTGATCCACAGGGAAGCAGAAGTAAGGAGGAACTGGTAGACCAGTTAACCAGCTACTACTGTAAGGTAAGAGCTGAAGTAGCCGGGTGTGAAGCGATTGGTATCAGTGGGAATAGGAGGAATGGAGGCCCTTAAGATAGATGTCTGGGTGGGTCCAGCAGGATTTCCTGAAGAAATAGAGGATATGGTCAGTAACCAGAGAAACAAAAAACAGTAAGGTGATAGGTCGATCATGTTAGATGATAAAACTGGGGTAAATGTTTTTTCCCCTCTGATTCTAAAGCTTGTTAATTTTGCAATATTTCAAAATATCTTCTTTATATTGAATAAATTCTCATCATTTCTTTCCTATCCACATATCCTACCGTATACCACTAATAATAATTTTGTAAATAGTCATCATTAATTTATTAAGCCATTACTATGTACCAGGCACTGTTCTAAACAATACATGACTCATTTAACCTTCTCATTCAGTCTTCACAACCTACTGTTATCTCACTCGTGATTGCTGATGTGAATTTACGTCATTCCAAGTTCTGTTCCTGGTTGCCACTGACGTGAGCTTACGTCTTTGAAAATTCTGTTTCTGAATGCTGCAACATTGTCATATGTATGTGTTGTTATATTTTGCTTGAAAATGAATAGTGAGGCAAGGAGAAAGTTAACTGAGATAATTACCTAACATCAACTACGCAATGCTGTTATTGATTTACATTGTCGGTAGAAATTGCAAGTTGGTTATTATTTTGTTGTGATTAGGGTTGTATACTTGTATTTTGGTATTTCAGGGCTTTCATACTTCAACATTAAAGATAATTTGCCATAATTATGGAAAATGAAAATATATGTCGATGAGATTTCCGAGGTCAAAGGTGAATCCAGTGAACTTATTAATGATGAGACAGATAGTGATGTAATGATGCAATGTAAACTAGGAAATGTATATATAAAATACATATTTCGGTTTATAATTCAAATAAAAATACAAAGTACAGAATGCTAGTCAGAGTGGTGTCTCAGGCAAATACTGGATACATCTGCAGTTTTCAGCTGTATCATAACAATTTAGAAAAGATCATTGCATTGTGTTTAACAACAGAAGTTTGCGGCAACCAGCTTCAGATTTTTTTTATTTTCACTCGCTCTCAGTACTAGGAAACTGAAAAATTTGCCTATCACGAATATGTTATTACTCCATTTTATATTGCATCATAACTTACAGATGAGAAAACTGAGGTATGGAGAGGTCAAGCAATTCGCTGAAGGTCAAATGGCTACAATGATGAAGCCAGAATTTTGGCCAAGGTTGATATCTCCTGAATCTGGACAATTCCCAAGTGCAATTCAATTATCTTACAATTTGAGAACATTATAAACAGAACAAGGCACAAAGCAAGAAAATAAGACTATAAAGCATAAAATATAATAAAATATTAGCATCTACACAGGGAAAAAAGGTGGAAGAGCATGTTCCAATGTGTTGACAGTCATTACAAATGGAAGCATCATTAAGAGTAACTATCCACCAGGCATGGTGGCTCATGCCTGTAAACCCAGCACTTTAGGAGGCCAAGGCAAGAGGCTTGCTTGAGTCCAGGAGTTTGAGACCAGCCTGGGCAACATAGCAAGACTCTGTATCTACAAAAAAAAAATTAGCTGGGCATGGTGGCACACACCTGTACTCCCAGCTACGCAGGAGGCTAAGATGGAAGGTCTGCCTAAGCCCAGGAGATCAAGGCTACAACCAACCACAATCAAGGTAGAGACACCAACTCAAAAAAAAGTAAGTAACCATCTTACCTAACTATGTAGTTCTATGATGTATGGATTTGGTTTAATTCTGCATTAAGCTCATCATTTTAAAAAGTTGACTTTTAAGGGTCCCCATAAGACTCCACACTGGATGAACATTAAGCAGAGCTATGGGGGAGGCATGGGGCCATGAGAGAAATTTGGGGATAAAGGAGGGAAGCGAAATCCAGGAAGAAGCAACCACGGTGAATGGTCGCAGTCACCCTCCCTGGAAGGCTGGATCATGGGGAGAAGTTGAAGGAACACATACCAAAAACATATAAACCAGCATTTTGAGTCAAAAGCAACTGTTCCAGCTCAGAATGTCTGAGATCAAAGCTGAGCTTTCCCGTGGCTTGTTCTTAGCAAGTTATTTAACTCCCTAAGGCTATTTCTTTATCTGTAGGATGGTGATGACTACGATAGTCTCAATTTCACAGAGCTGTAATAAGGGTTAAGGCAAGTATGGATGGGAAGTGTTGACTACAGTGCCTGGCACGGTAACTACATGATAAATGTGAGATCACACAAAAACACAAGGGGGACCCCAAAAAAACCAGAATTTATTTATTAAAAATTGTGTATTTATTCTTACGTGTTTAAACTTTAGTCACCTAGCCGGGCTCAGTGGCTCAGCCTGTAATCCCACGCCTTGGGAGGCTGAGGTGAGTGAATTGCCTGAGCCCGTAGGTTCGAGACCCACCTGGGCAACTTGGTGAGACCTCATCTCTACAATAAATCAAAAAATCAGCCAGGTGTGGTAGCGCACGCCTGTAGTTCCAGCTACTTGGAAGGCTGAGGCAGAAGGATCGCCGGTCGAGGCTGCGGTGGCTGGGAATGGCCACTGCACTCCAGTCTGGGCGACGGAGTGAGACTCCAACTCAAAAAAAAAAGACTTCAGTCACCGTTAAAGTACTCTCCAATTGATGCAATCCACCTATCGAGACACTTTTTTTTATGTCACTACTTTAATTTCCAAACAAAAAAACCATGACACACAACATCCAATCTTGTCAAATTAGGGGGGGATGAGGCCCTTGTTTCCTGCCTTAGACCAGGAGAAAAACAACACTAGACAGCAGAGGGAGCCAGGTGGGACTGGGCCACCCAAGGGTGGGAGCCATGGGAACACTACACAGAGAGCAACAGATAGAACCTCTGCATCGACTTCTTCCAAGCAAGATGCAGCCTCATCACCCCTGGGGGCAGGGGGGTCATCTCATCAGGAACAGTAGTCCTGGGCTCCTCGGCTGTCACTTCATCTTCAGCAATGCCAAGGCCCAGCTTGATCATGCAGTAGATGTGGCTGGAGTGCATCCGGGGATCCTTTAGGGAGAAGCCAGAGGACAACAGAACAGTTTCAGACAGCAGCACCACCAGGTCCTTGACAGACCTGTCATTCTTGTCCACCTCTGCATTCTGTCATGGTCTCCAAAATGGGGCGGTCAGGGTTGACCTCCAGGTGCTTTTGGGCTATCATGTAGTCCATCATCGAGTGGCCCCGAAGGGCCTGGGCTTTCAGGATCACTCCATGTTGGCTGTCTGGCCACAGGTGCTGGTCACAACGCAGCAGGATGAAGACACAAGCCTATTGGAGACTGTGGCCTTCTCAACTTTCTTATCCAAGATTTCTTTCATGAGCTTGCAGAGGTTCTCAAACTTCGCCTTGCTCTCCTCCATTTTCTTCTTCTCCTCCTCATCCTCGGGAAGCTCCAGACCCTCCCTGGAAACAGAGACCAGGCTCTTGCCATCAAACTCCTTGGGCTGCTGCGCGCAGTATTCATCAGTAGGCTCCGTCATGTAGACCACCTCAAAGATCCGTTTCCGCAGTCACTTCACAAACACAGAGTTGGCCACCTGCTCTTTGCTCTCACTGGTGATGACTTCTGGAGACACTTTTTCCACTGCTCAAAACAGTTTTTGAACTCATCAATTTTGATGCCTTTTAATGCTTCTGCAATTTCTTGTTTCATCTCTTCCACACTGGCAAAATTTTTCCCTTTGAGTCCTTTGAGGACTTTTTTAATCCAGGGAAACAAAACAAAGTCACTTGGAGTGAGATCAGATGAATAGGGAGGGTAGGCACAGGGGTCACGCCATTTTTGGTCAAAAACTACTGAACACTCAGCATGGTACAGGCAGGCCCACTATCACAGTGGAAGAATCAGTCACCTGTTTTGCCACAACTCGGGATGTTTCTTCCACAATTCAGGATGCAACCTTCTCAAAACTTCCACATGAAAACTTTGATCAAAACAGCTGACCGTTTGATCCAGAGGAACAAATTCCGAGTGTACTACAAGGAGCCCATCCTCCAAAAGATAATTCTGTTTTTTTTGAGAGCCCCACCTCGTATATACAAATAAATTCAACTTCTAGCAATCTAGATGTTCTAAGTCTACTGTGGTTCACAAACTGTGGCACCCAAGAACTTGGAGGACTTGCTGGACCCTGCTCCCTGTGCTTCTGATGTCGTATTTCTGGGGAAGACCCAAGAATCTGCTTTTCTTTTTTTTTGGTTTTGTTTTTTTTGAGTCCGAGTCTCCCTCACCCACCCAGGCTGGAGCGCAGTGGCACACTCACGGTGGCACCACAGCCTTGACCTGCTGGGCTCAGGAAATTCTTCCACCTCAGCCTTCCGTGTAGCTGGAACTACTTGGCTAATTTTTTGATTCACTGTAGAGACGAGGTCTCATCAGGTTGCTCAGGCTGGTCTCAAACCCTGGGCTCGGACAATCCTCTTGCCTCCCAAGGTGCTGGGATTACAGGCATGAGTCGCCTCTCAAAGTGCTGGGATTACAGGCATGAGCCACCGTGCCCACTGAGAATCTGCATTTCTAACAAGCTCCCACTATGCTAATTCTCCCTGGGGGAACACATCTGGAGAACTACTCCTCTAAGACAGTGGTTTTCACTGCAGGTGTGCAAGCTATCACCTGTGGAGTCTTTGAAAACTATACATGCCAAGCCCACACCTGGAGATTCTGATTATGTAGGGAGGTCTTTTCTGGGGTTTTTCCCCTTCTTGTTTGTCTCTAAAGCTCCACATGTGAATCTAATACAGGTCTGAAAAAGATGCTTCGGTTCTAAATAATACAAATAGCATAAAACTTGCATACTAATATGCAAAGTGAGCACTGGATGCCTAGGTCTCATCAAAGTCTTCCTGACTCACATTATTGAGCATAGGTAGAATACTCACCCTGATATTCTTCCAATGCCAGTAATAATGCCACCTGCAGGGACCTCTTCATTGCCATATAACTGGTAACCTGCAAACTGGGATAATTCTAGAAAAGGAGACCTGAAAGGAAGAAAGAATTTTGCTTGGATCAATGTCATTTAAAAATACACATTTAAACAGTTAACGCATGGGAAAGAAAAAGAGTTCTCTTTAATGGGACAATGTTTCAAATATGCTTGTTGAACATAAAATCTATTTTCAAAAATCTAAAACTGGGCATGGTGGCTTACATCTATATTCCCAGCTACTTGGGAGACTGATGTGGAAGGATCACCTGAGCCCAGGAATTAGAGACCAGTCTGGACAACGTATCAAGACACCATTTCTTATAAAAAAAAAAAAAATCTGGTGTGACTATTTTAAGGATTGGTATGGTATATTCATACAATAGAATGCTAGATACTTATTTCAAAAGATGAAGTAATACCAATGTGCTTATTAATACAGAAAAAGAATGGCAGTTAACATTTGTGTAGCACTTCTCATGTGCCAGGCTGTATTCTACAGGCTTTAGAAACATTAATTCGGCCAGGCACGGTGGCTCAAGCCTATAATACCAGCACCTTAGGAGAAGAAATAGGAGGATCACTCTTGAGCCCAGGAGTCCAAAACTAGCCTGGGCAACAAAGCAAGATCTCGTCTCTACCACAAAAAAAAAAAAAAAAAGCAACATTAACTCATTTACTCCTTAGAACTACCTCCTGAGACAGATTCTATTATGATCCCCATTTACTGATGAGGAAACTGAAACACAGAGAGAGTAAGTCACCTATCTAAGGACACACAACAAGTAAGTGGCAGAGTTGGGAGTTCACATAAATCCTACCTCATCTCCACATTTATAAACAATCTGGCCCCAGGGACCAGGCTCTTAACCACTGTATTAGTCTACCTCTCACTAATTACGTGGTCAAGATATATTAAGTGGAAGGAAGAGGGATTGTCTATAAACACATTTAGTATGATTTCATTTTTGTTTTAAAAAATGTCGGTGTCTGATACACATATGCATAGAGATGTCTAGAAGGATCTATACTAGGTGTGAACAGTGCTTGTCTCCTGATTGGATATGTGTGCACATGTCATAAGGAAAAATACTTCTGGAATTTTTATTTACCCCTCTCTCCCCACATCAATCCTTCAGGAAATCCTGCTGGGTTGGCTCTATGTTCACAATACATGCAGAACTCACACTCTCACCACCTCCACTATGACCACCCTGGGCCAACTCCCTCAAATCCCTGCATGTCTACCTTTGCTGCCCACAATCTACTTACAACACAGCAGCCACGATAACTCTTCAGAAACATAAATCAAAGCCAAGTGCAGAGGCTCACACCTGTAATCCCAGCACTTTGGGAGACAGAGATGAGAGGATTACCTGAGTTCAGGGGCTCAAGACCAGCCTGAACAACATGGCGAGACCTCATCTCTACAGTAAATCAAAAAATTAGCCAGGTGTGGAGGTGCATGCCTGTGGTTCCACCTACTTGGAAGGTTGAGGTGGAGATCACCTGAGCTCAGCAGGTCAAGGCTGTAGTAGCCGTGAGAGAGATTCTAACCCAAAAAATAAAAGTCAGATAGTGTCTAATCATCTCCTGCTCAAAACCCTATATAATAGCTCCCCGTTTCTCTCATGGTAAAAGCCAAAGCTTTCATGATGGCCTATGAGACTACGCAATCTGACACATCCCCTGCTGCTCTCACTTCCCTCGCTCCACCCCAGCCACACCGGCCTGGCTATTCCTTGAGCACATTAGCACACTCCCAGAGCCTTTGCACTGGCTCTTCCCTCTGCCTGCAACACCCTTTCCCAAGATACTTACATGGCTCGCTCACTCTCTTCCCTCCTTCAAATCTTTGCTCAAACGTCATCTTTTCAATGAGGCCCAGCCTCACCACCACACTGAAAATTGCAACTCATCTTTCTCTCCCTTACCCTGGTTCTACCTTTTCTTTTTCCTGTGACATCCCACCACCTTCCAACATACTACAGAATTTACGGTGTTTATTGTTACCTTCCAGCTCCTCATGCTCCTGATGTAAACTCCAGTAGGGCAAAGATCTTTCTCTATTTTGTTCACTGATGTACCACTAGTGCCTGGTACAATGCCTGACACTCTCAACAAACACATGTTGTTGAATCTTACGATAAGAACTGGAATCCAGGCTGGGTGTGGTGGCTCAAGCACTTTGGGACATGGAGGCGAGAGGATTGTCTAAGCTCAGGGGTTTGAGACCAGTCTGAGCAACATAGCAAGACCTTATCTCTACAATAAATCAAAAAAGTAGCCGGGCATGGTGGCACGCGCCTGTGGTTCCAACTACTTGGAAGGTTGAGGGTTGAGGCGGAAGGATCACCTGAGCCCAGCAGGTCGAGGATGCAGTGGCTGTGAGTGTGCCACTGCACTCGTCTGGTCGACAGTGAGACTCTGACTCAAAAAAAAAAGAACTGAAAAACAGAACAATTTATTCAGAGAAAGTACCACAGAATAAAGAACACTCTTGAGTTAGCAACTAGGAATGTACCAACCCTGGGTCTACAAGATTGTTGATTCTTTCTCTGGGTAACAGTTTTCCTCTTGATATATGAAGTGTTCGAGCTTTCTCACCCCCTCCTATGATTAAAAAACATGATTAGATTAGATTGACGTAAGATTTAACCTAATGCCAGAAAAACATACTATTTCATCCAAAATACAGTGCTCCTTTGGGAAAAGGCTAATTTTTCAGATCATTTATTCAACTTTCAAGCTGTCAATATTCCGAATAAGGAACTGGCATTTACAAACAGTCTATCCCTGATCCTAGAGTATATCATACATGTTCAGAATTCACTAGTCATTACTTAAAGAAATTCCATGTAGGCCGGGCGCAATGGCTCACACCTATAATCCTAGCACTTTGGGAGGCAGAGGCGAGAGGACTGTCTGAGCCCAGGGGCTTGCAACCAGCCTGAGAAACTTCGTGAGAACTTGTCTCTACAATAAATTTTTAAAATTGCTGGGAATGGTGGCATGTGCCTATAGTCCTGGCTACCTGGAAGGCTAAGGTGGAAGGATCACCTGAGCCCAGCAGGTCCAGGCTGTGGTTGCTGTGATCGTGTACTCCAGCCTGGGTGAGAAAATAAGACTCCAACTCAAAAAAAGAAAAAGAAATTCCATGTAAATCCTACCTCATCCTCACATTTATAAATACATATTACATATAGCTAGCATTGTACCATATGCTATGTGAAATTTGAAAAGTTCTTATTTTGTGCCAGGTAAAAGCTAATTTTAGAAGTTACTTCCATGACAAGCACAGGAAAATTTACCTAAAGATGCCATTAGTGACCCATTAGTGAACTTTTTAAGCCAGCAAGTGAGAATGTTGAACAGCTTAAATAGCAATTAAAAACTCCCATTTTTTATAGTGTCTTGACCCAGAAATCGACTTCAACGCTTCCCAACACTGCCCACATCCTGACAAAGAAAAGTACAGTACCTGGGAAGCCCACTGAGCTTTTCCAATATTCTTGGGAGGATCTATAACCCACTCTCAGCAAATCAAGGTAAGGAAGCAGGAACAGAAGTATAAAATTGTCATGTTTAATAATTGACATACTCCTTTATTTTCATTGGTACACAAGAACTTCATATTACTATAGACATTATCTAATGAAATGTTCAGCTATTTAAGAAAACCATTTTTTTATTTAAGTGAGAAAATAAGTTCACACCTATTTCAAATAAGCTTCCAAGTATGACCTTTTCCAAGTCATGACTCATTCCTGTATCTAGGAGGAATTTGTTTTCCTGAAGAATGCTACATAGCATATTTTTAAGATTAATCTGTCTTTAGGTTGCCAAGAAAATTGTAGCACACATCTACTCTTCTTTTAAGATGAACATAATGCTGGGAGGGGAAAAAAAAGACTTTGTGACAAGATAGTGTGAATTACTTCAAATTGCTTTTTTTTCCCAACCTCTGGCTGAGTCTCTAAGAGGGAAGCAGGGAAGGAATGGAGGGCTACCAAGGGCAGGAGAAACTTTGGGAATGTTAGATGCATTCATTACCCTGACTGTAGTGATGGTTTCATGAGTGTATACGTATGTCAAAACTCATCAAACGGCATACTTTAAATAACATAGTTTATTGCGTATCCATTATGCTTTAATAAAGATGTCGAAAAATACATTTTTAAAAATTTTACTTTTTGTAGAGATGAGGTTTCACTATGTTGCCTAAGCTGGTCTTGAACCCCTGGGCTCAAGCAATCCTCCTACCTTGGCCTCCCAAAATGCTGGGATTACAGGTGTGAGCCACTGCACCAGGCCTAAAAATACATACTAGAAGGCCAGGTGCAGTGGCTCACGCCTATAATTCCAGCACTTTGGGAGATCAAGGTGAGAGTACTGCCTGAGACCATGGGTTTGAGACCAGCCTGGGCAACTTGGTAAGACCTCACCTCTACAATAAACCAAGAAAAATTAGCCAGGCGCGGTGGCACATGCCTGTAGCTGCAGCTACTTGAAGGCTGAGGTGGAAGGATCACCTGAGCCCAGCAGGTCAAGGCTGCGGTTGCTATGAGTGTGCCACTGCCCTCCAGCCTGGGCAACAAAGTGAGACTCTGACTCAAAAAAACCCAAAAATACATATTAGAAGAAGAATGAACTAAATAAGGCACTGCAAGGAGATCCAGGCCTGGGAGAAGGTCTTTGAAGAGCCAGCAGGAGAGGGCGCAGAAGAGGAGGGTGGAGTGACCAAGAGGTGATAGAGTATACAAAAAAAAGCACTTAAGATAACATCAGTCACTGCTTGACTTGACTCTGGTGTGGCCACGTACTCTTTGAGCTATGGCCACTGCCATGTTTCCTAGGGGCTGGCCCCCTCTCCTACCTTGGAAAGGTGAATCTTCTCTCTCTCTCTAATTTACTTTCTAAATAAACTATATTTTCCAATCTAAAAAAAAAAAAATAACATCATTCTTAATTTTGTCTAGACTTAGGGCTTGCAATTTGGAACAGCTACTTATTCTGGCTTTATTAGGAAGCAGCTGAAAGAGCCTTATCCTCGATGCAGGCTCACAAGCACAGAATTAAGCTCCTCTGGCACTTTATTCTTGGCAAAACTGTGAAGGCCAAGTCTGTTCCTTCCCCTTCTCTCCAGTTCCCTCCCAGGAAGTGCTGCTGAGTCCTCTCTTCCCTGTGGCTGCCAGCCCTCACCAGCCCTTACCATGGTTCATCAGAACCACCACCACCTTCAGCAAGTGCTCACAGTTACAGGGCTCTTTACCCCGCCCCTACTGACTCAAGCCCACCCATCTTTTTTTTTTTTTTTTTTTTTGATTGGAGTCTCACTCTGTCGCCCTGACTGGAGTGTAGTGGCCGCTCCAGGCCACTGCAGCCTTGACCTGCTGGGCTCCAGCGATCCTTCCGCCTCAGCCTTCCAAGTAGCTGGAACTACAGGTGCGCGCTACCACACCCGGCTGATTTTTTGATTTATTGTAGAGATGAGGTCTCGCTGCCCAGGCGGGTCTCAAACCCGCGGGCCCAGGCGATCCACTCACCTCAGCCTCCCAAAGGCGCGGGATTACAGGCTGAGTCACCGAGCCCGGCTAAGCCCACCCGTCTTAATGTCCAAGGGGAACAGTGAACTCATCAAATCCAGCTGTGAGACTGGGCATAACTCGTGAGCTATCACCCCTACAAAACATGTTTTTTTCATTTCAGCAAGAAAGGTGGTTCTTTTTCTGGAAACAACACTTTCATCTAAAATGGCTTCAAAAGTATGAATTCCAGGCTGGATGTGGTAGTTCGTGCCTGAAATCCCAGCACTTTGGGAGGCCAAGGTGGGAGGATCACTTGAGGTCAGGAGTTTGGGACCAGCCTGGGCAACACAAGCAAAACTCTGTCTCCACAAAAAATAAAGCCGGTGTGGTGGTGTCCATCTGTAGACCTAAGCTACTCGGAAGGCTGAGACAGGAAGACCACTTGAGCCCAAGAGTTTGAGGCAGAGGCAGGAGGATCACTTGAGCCCCTGCAGTAAGTTATGATTGTACCACTAGACTCCAGCCTGGGCAAGAAGATCCTGTCTCTAAAACAAAACAAAAAAAAAATGTAAGTATGAATTCCATAGCTGGGCACAATGTCATGCCTATAGTCCCAGCTACATGGGAGGCTGAGGTGGGAGGACTGTTTGTTTGAGGCCAGGAGTTTGAGTTCAGCCTGAGCAACACAGCAAGACCCCATCTCTAAATAAACAAATAAATAAATACAAATATCCAAAAGAGCATGAATTCCACTGATCTTTCTGAAAAGCCAACCAGCTGAATATTTTTGCCCCTCAAATCATAGTACTCGAAAGACAAAAACCAACATGATTTTTTAATACCGTTTCCTACACTGGGACAGGGGATCAACAGCTGCCTCGCCAAAAAGAATGACAAATGTCCTCTACCTATTTTTATGAGTAACCCTCCACTTACAAACCCTAGTTAGGGGAGGGAATAGGAGGGTAGTCTGTGTAACTGACATTCACTGCTTCTGATGGTCTGCCTTGCTTTCTCCCTTTTCCTGAAAACAGGACACCTACCACTGTGGAGCTCAGGAGCTCCCAGTCATTGTGTCCCAAAGCCTTGGATGAGTGTGGATCCAGGAGGCAAGCTGGAGGACCACAGCCCCCCGGACACACTGACTGGACCAAAGGGTGGACATGTGACGTAAGCAGACCAACCAGAACTTTCCAGATTGGACATGAGAGGATAACTGTCCCTTCCAGACTGTGAACTGTAAGAATGAAATCCCTGGCCCTCCAGCAACCTCGCTCCCACTTCATGGAGAAGCCCGAAGAGAATAAAATCTGCATAGCCACACAGATCCTGAGAGATATCGTGAGACAAAGAGATTGCCCCCCAGAGGGGCAGGGCCCCTGGACTAGTCAACACGCCTTCTTATTGGTTGCAACAACCAATAAATGCTATTTTCTGGGTTAAACAAGTTTGATTTGGATTTCTGTGACTTGAAACCAAAGAGACCAAATATAGGCCATTTTCAAAATATTTGTAATACATTACAAATACCTAATTAGGAGGAGCTATATGAAGTCTACGGGCTTGTTTTTGTTTTGTTTTTTAATTCTCCCAGGTAGAATGGGAGTAATTACTGCCATGCGCATGAAGTCACTGCTTCAACTGGTCCCACTCTGAGTTTCATATGTTAGTTTGTGTCATGATAACTTTTAGAAGATTTCATTGTATTTGACTGAACTGCTGGGGTAAAAAGATAGACTGCCAAGCATGGTGACGTGCCCTTTTAATCCTAGCTACTCTGGAGGCTGAGGTGAGAGGATTGCTTGAGCACAGGAGCTAGAGGCTGCAGTGAACTATGATCATACCACTGTGTACCAGCCTGGGCAACATGGCAAGACCCTATCTCTAAAAAATAAACAACAGGCCAGGTATGGTGGCTCATGCCTGTAATTCCAGCACTTTGGGAGGCCAAAGCAGAAGGGTTGCTTGAGCCCAGGAGTTTGAGACCAGTCTAGGCCACAAAGGGAGGCCTCACCTCTACAAAAGGATAAAAATTTAAAAGATTAGCCACACATGGTAGCATGCACTTATAGTCCCAGCTACTCAGGAGACTGAGGCAGAAGGATCGCCTGAGCCCAGGAGGTTGAGGCTGCGGTGAGCCACTGCACCCCAGCCTGGTCGACAGAGTGACACCCTGACTCAGAAAAACAAAAAGCATAAACTGAAGAATAAATGCTGTGTTTACCTAGTCTCACAAAGTGCGCTCGCTCGTGAAGTTGATCTACTAGTGTTCTCATCTGCTCGTAGTTCTCCTGAAACAGAGACAAAGGAAGAAGGGAGAGGAATATTAGAAAGCAATTACCTTTCTGCCAAAATAAGGGTCAAGAAAAACATGGATCCGGCCACTTCCGTGTGGCCTCCTCCGGAAAGGTCAATCCCACCATCTTTGCTCTAGGGCGTCTTCCCTAACCCCCACCCGCTCATCCCCTCTCCAAATCCCAAACCTCCCGAAAGCCAAATTCACGTTTCATCTCACCTCCCACGCCATTTGTGGCTGCTCTTACTCATGTGAGCACCCTTCTTCCTTAAACATCTACTGAACTTGATTGATCTCTCTCTGTTTTCCTATTTAAGGAATAAAGCTTTTTGAAGGTTAGAATGCCACCTTATTTTTCCTGTCCCATCAGTTATTACCTGAGATACCAACCAAAGCAGAAATGCTTGCTTACTGACAAATGACACTTAAAAACAAAGTCCAGGAGGGAGAAAAATGAATCCTATTTTATGTTTTAAAAAACAAAATTCGGCCAGGTGCATAGCTCACGCCTATAATCCCAGCACTTTTGGGAGGCCAAGGTGAGAGGATTGCCTGAGTCCAAGGGTCCAAGATAAGCCTGGGCAACTCGGCGAGACCTCATCTCTACAATAAATCAAAAAATTAGCCAGGCATGGTGGCGTGCACCGGGGTTTCCAGCTACTTGGAAGGCTGCAGTGGAAGGATGGCCTGAGTCCAGCAGGCTGATGCTGCAGTAGCCATGAGTGTGCCACTGCACTCCAGCCTGGGTGACAGAGTGAGACTCCAACTCAAAAATATTTTAAAAATTAAAACAAAATTTTTAAAAAGTTATATGCCTGGATATGTTAAGAAATGTTCTGAGTAATAATATAAGAAAATATTGATAGTGAGTAGAACAAGGGAAGAGGGATTAACTTGCCATCCTTCTGTAGTTTTACATTTCGGTCAGTGTATTACTTTATAACAAAACTTAAATAGCTAATTGTTTTGAAAATGCAGGGTTTTCCCACTAACACTTTGCTCCTCAAAATGTGATTAGCATCTCTGGTCATCTCGTTCCTTTTATTTTACAAAGCACTAAACAGCTTCCCAGCTGTTCAGGATTAGACGCATGTACAGTCTTTCCAATACAAGTTCACCTCTCCTGTCTCTCCTACAGCTCTGGGAGCTCCAAGGGTCATGGTTTCTGCTACATTCTCTTGCTCTGCAAAATCCAAAAAATAAAAAAGGAAGCAGCATGGTGGTAGGGAAAGAACCTTTGCCCCGGGGTAGCAAGGGCCCCACCCCAAACCCTCTGTCTGGCAGCCCTGGGAGCAACCTCCTTCTAATCCCACCAAGCCTGGCATCCTGGGGAAAAGAACCTGCTAAAAACTTGGTTTGAGACTCTCCCAAACAGTGTTTCTCCAGTATGGCTCTACTTAGGACTCACCGGGGAGCTTTTAAAAACAAGGGAAAACATTAAAAAGCACTGCAGACTAGTCCTAGCCCCAGGGATTCTGATGTCACTGGCTATAGGCGTGGCCTGGGCATTAAGACTTTTAAAAGTTCCACAGGTGATTCTAATGTGCAACCAAAATAAATTACACTGGCCTGTAACTCCATTTCAGAGTTTCTATTCAGGGTAAACTGGGAACATTACAGAAAGAAGGATTGTGGCTAGATGCAAATCCCCCTCTTGCCACTGAAACTTTTTCAGATTATCATAGCACTCATATTATAATATTAATGACACGAGACAGGGGAAGCCAAGAACTCTGCTCTATTATTTTTAAACCCAGGTGATGAGATCCCTTTCATCCATATACAGCAAATGCAGAAAGTCCTCAACGCATGAATTGCCTCAGACAGAAACAAAGCACCAAAGCATGTCTGTTCAGCCCGTCATCAAGAGGTGGCATTAGAGCAGCTTGTAGAATGTCACTTGAAATGTATGCAGGAACTCAGAGCAGCTTCTGGATGGAAACCACTCCCTGTAAGCAAGGGCTGTATCCTGAGCTTCTCTGCTACCCATCTCCCTGGCAGAGGGAAGGTTTTGTAGGGAAAGAAAGCCCATGGCAAGAAGGAGATGGAGACTACGAGTGCATCTGTCACCAAATGGCACGTTCACTTTGGGGCTCTCTCACCCCGACCCTAGCACGCAGCTGGCACCCCCCAGCTCAGGGTCAGGTGCACTGCTCTGATCTCAGCCCCCAGGCTCCACCACACACAGCTCCTATCTCCCACCCTTCAACACACAGGTGAGAAACAGGCTGATTAATAGTGTTGCTGCATGCAAAGAAAGCAGGTTTATTTCACTGCACAGGTAAACTATTGTTTTTTGTTTGTGTTTTGTGCTTAAGATCTATTCTTGGCCAGGCGCAGTGGCTCAAGTCTGTAATCTCAGCACTTTGGGAGGCCAAAGCAAGAGGACTGCCTAAGCCCAAGGTTCGAGACCAGGTTAGACAACCTGACGAGACTCCGTCTCTACAGTATATATATATAATTTATATATATATATATATAATTTTTTTATATATATATATATAATTTTTTATTTTAATTAGTTGGGCATGGTAGCGTGCACCTGTAGTTCCGGCCACTTGGAAGGCTGAGGCAGAAGGATCACCTGAGCCCAGCAAGTCAAGGCTGCAGTGATGGTACCATAGCACTCCAACCGGGGTGACAAGAGTGAGACTCTGAGTCAAAAAAAAAAAAAAAAAAAAA